AATGGCCTACTATTATTTTTTTAAGAAGATAGGTCAAATATTAACTGCGTCACTTTTTTTGGAACTGAGTGTATTATCAAACAAGGAAAGTCTAATAAATGGCGATAGCGCAGTGTACAAGCAGAACAAATACTTCAAAAGTTCATATTTTAAATCGCCGATATTATGATTTAATGGTGAACGTAATGCATAATTTTGAAAAAATGGTGAACGCCCAACTAAGCATTCACCAATTGAAAGATTATAACTTAATGCTCACCCTGGCAACCAGATGACGTTTCAGTCTTCTTACGTCAGTTGAATGACCAAAGTGACGTCAGAAGTTGCCGTCGTATGACGTGATGACTGACGTGAATAAGTCACAGGTCAATGACGTTATATTACTCACGGGTATTGACGTCGGTCACTCACCTGACGATGACGTCGAAATGACTTCAAAACGACGCCAAAATGACGTTCTAATTTGGTGATAAAACGTGAAAAGTTTCCTCAAACATAGTGTCATAAACACCACTGACCTCTGATGATATCTAATATTGATTATGTATTGTTGAGACTGCTTGGTGCTCCTTCTGGAGTATTGTCTATTCAACCGTCTAATCAGCAGAGCTATCCTTTAGTACGTATGTCCATCAAAATGAGATCAGTTACTCGTATTTGTATACAAAATTATGTAGTTTGTGTCAGCGAGATGTAAGCAAACCATGAATAGTTTCACTTTGTTGAGTATCGTAAACTTATGCATTCTTTGTCATCCAACAAAAATCTCTGAATTACGATGCCCACCAAATTGGTACCTCACAACGACGTAATTTTTCATAGATACGTCACTGCAACGTCATAAAAGTGACGTTTTCAATGGGTACACCTATTATCATTTATATATTCAAATGATAACGTCCCTTCCTTCCAACCTTACTAGTACATACATGTTATTCCGAATATATAACACCCAGTACACTGTCTATTACACTTGGGATATAAATGATTAAAGAGATATGGGGTGTACAAAATCGAGATTTTTCAACTTCAGAAATTCACGAGAATTTATTATGTTGAAACTATTCATTATTGGTTCAAACAGCTTTCATAAAATTTCTAAATATAAAATATCTCAAATTTTCACGAGCTAAATTACTGTAATTAGCATTTGAAATAACAAAGGTATTGCTACTTTGCGATTGAAGCGGCAACGCCGAAGCGCCCAAAATATTTCAGATCTTCAGAAACCAAATTTTCAAAATGATCTCATATGTCCTGTTCTACAAAAACATTTAACAGGCCATCGACTCTGGCACACTCTGTATACATATCAAACACACATACCGAACTATAGAGGAACATGACGTTGACCCAACGTCCCTACAAAGTCATGAAACTGATGTCAAATTTCAACTATCCAAGTGACATTTACTCAACGTCATAATGATAACGTAATAGTCACGTCAGAAATTGGTGTGAGACGTCTCTGACGGAAAATCACCAATTGGGTACATCACAATGACGTGATCATTCGTCATCTGGTTGGCTGGGTAATGGCTCTGAAAAACTCATCTACTCCTTAGCAAGAATAAATTGAGCATATAAAATGAAATATAAATATCTTATGCCTTCGCGGGATTCCGAATATCAATTATTACCAGAGATTATTCATTTTATGACCGAGTATATCACTGCACGGAAGTGCATATCGTGCGCTATGATGGAAATATGAGAAAATGGCGGAAGCCATAATAGTCATCCGCCAGTTTAATGTTAGGATACGAAACTATTATCTACAGACAGTAAACTGTATTATTACGTTATTCGTGGCAGAAGTCCACGCTGACACTATTCATTTATGAACTGATTCATTCAACTAATAAGAACACTCATTCATTACTGACTTATCACTTATAATCTCCTACCAGCAGAACTAATATCGCATATTTGAAATTTCCCATAAGAGGAATGCGATTATCGAGAACTTGAAGATTTTTTTCCTACGACCACCTATGAATACAGCACAAAACACATTGATTTGTTATTGAGAAAGTGACTCGTTTCACTATGATAACATATAACAGTTAGAAAGTTCGAAAGCAAAACTCACATGGGTGGAAATATTCGAAAATCGCACAGTAACAGGGTCTATAGATTATGATGTACCAATGAATGATTATTATGCTGAATTATGGTAAGTTAAGTTATGGTCAAGTTAATGGAAGGTTAGTGTCGATTCAACATGAGGTATTGTCGTTAATGTTGACGTAATGTTAAGTTTATGAAAAGTTGAAATCAAGTTAATTTCAATTGAAAGTTGAATTAATGTCAATGTATTGGCAATTTAGTGATTAATGTGAAGTTAATGTCAATTTGATATTGAGTTGATGTTAATTTGATTTCAAGGTAATGTCAAGTTAATTTTGAGTTAATGTTGAATTAATGTTGAATAATTATTGAGTTGATGTTAAGTTGATGTTAAGTCAATGTTAGGTTAATTTTAAGTTAATGTTGAGTTGATGTTGAGTTAATGTTAAGTTGATTTCAAGTTGAAGTTAAGGAACTATTAAATTTATGTCAAGTTGATGTTAAGTGGATGTTAAGTTGATGTTAAGTTAATGTTGAATTGATGTTAAGTTCATATTAAGTTAATGTTGAGTTAACGTTTAACTGATGTTTTCATTTAAATATTGAAGTAAAACTAAATAACAAGGTCTATAGATTATGATGTACCAATAAATGATTATTATGCTGAATTATGGTAAGTTAAGTTATGGTCAAGTTGATGGAAGGTTAGTGTCGATTCAACATGAGGTATTGTCGTTAATGTTGACGTAATGTTAAGTTGATGAAAAGTTGAAATCAAGTTAATTCCAATTGAAAGTTGAATTAATATCAATGTATTGGCAATTTAGTGATCAATGTGGAGATAATGTCAATTATTGATATTGAATTGATGTTTATTTGATTTCAAGGTAATATCAAGTCAATTTTGAGTTAATGTTGATTTAATGTTGAGTTAATGTTGAATAATTATTGAGTTGATGTTAAGTTGATGTTATGTCAATGTTCGGATAATTGTATGTTAATGTTGAGTTGATGTTGAGTTAATGTTAAGTTAATTTCGAGTTAATGTTGAAAAACTGTTAAATTTATGTTAAGTTGATGTTAAGTGGATATTAAGATGATGTTAAGTTAATGTTGAGTTAATGTTAAGTTCATAATAAATTAATGTTGAGTTAACGTTAAACTAATGATATCATTTGAATATTGAAGTAAAATTAAATAATAATGATAATGATATCACCTTCATGTGATCGAAAAACATGGATGACGATGAAACTTTTCGAAATTTCATACAAAAATATGAAAGAGATTGCTATTTTGTAGAAAAAATCACCAAGTTTCGAAACTCGTGGAACTACACCGTTTTAGAAAAAAACCAAATAACCAAATTCAACTCCAAAATTTGATGTAGATGTCAGATAGTCCACTCAAGACATCTGTTCAGATTACTCTATAACCATAATAGTAGATTATTTTATTAGGATCAAAAGTGACACATTGTTTGACAAGCGAATTTTGCATTTGCGAGGCGGAGCGTTTAGCGAAGCCGAGCGAAAGCAAAATTTGCGAGTCGAACAAAGTCACTTTTGATCCGAATGAAACATGCTATTTTTTCTGCAACCGAAACAATTAACTCAAATAAACATGTGTAGTAACCACCAATGCCGTGCCATATGTATGCGATGCAACAAATATTGACAAATAATCCATGTGGTAAGAATATTTTACCTGCATTAACAGCAGGTTAGGTTTTCAAGGATGTTCGAATTGTAGTTTCAATAATATGAATACAATCACAGAGTGACATATTTGTGTATGGACCAGGTGCTCTAATGGCAAATACCGCGCCAGTGCCAGCTATAGGAACAAGACGTGGAAAATGTTAGGTTACTGAGCATATCAACAATGATAATAGTGATTATTTATTCCTCTCCATACTACACTGACACTGTGTTTGACTTGATGATCAAATGAAGCTAAACAATATCGTTGTTTGATACAAAAAACTATTGCTTGCCGTGATTATTCAAAAACAAGTTATCCATCCCGAGAATAACGAATGAAATACAGATCAAGCAAGTATTTGAATCTTGAAGGATTCCCTGATCAAACAAAAATACTTAGCTGAGATGTTTATAATCCCAATACTAAACTATACTAAGGTGTATTTATATCTCCAGCATGGGTATGAAATGCCAAATCTGCTGAAATCGGAAACAAATCAGGTATGCGTCTCAACCCAAATAACCAACCGTCACAATGTTGTTTATTCTTGATGACGTCCAGTACATCCTTTTTAGTTCCTAGGAGCTAAAGTTCAATTTTAGCTCCTAGGAACTAAAATTCAACTGTATCTCCTAGGAACTAAATATGTTGCCTAGCAAGCAACATACCTATTTTTGTGTCAGTAATAGAAACGTCAATTTAAGAGCTAATTTTGGTATCAAAATGGACGACTTTTGTGTCGGTTGCAGAAAATAAATATTTTTTGTTATTGTGGCACTATGACAGTCACATAACAAACAAAATTTTGCCACCACGATATGCCATACAGGGTGGTCATGAAAGAATTCTATATATAAATATTTGCAACTTTAACGCCCTGTATCTCGCAAACGAGGCCTTCTACGACTTTTGTTTATGAGAACTTCTTCATTTTCTTGAAATACCTCTCGCAGTGCGTCCCACCTATAACGAAACACCCCGTATGTACTTGCGCCTGCAGAGAGCACGCAAGAAATAAAGCGCGTGGTGGAGGAACGTATATCCTATGCCTATGTAATTTCGGGACACCCTGTATAAAATAGAGATAACTATTATACCTTCTGTGTATAACTCTCTAGTTTCCATATTCTGTTACATCAAATGCTGAAAATTAACTTCGTGAAAATTCAAAAATCCAAACTAGTTGAGAACCTAGGTATCTAAAAGTGAATTATGATTTGTTTCAGTCGCTTGGTCAGAATATCTGCAAAACAGTAGTGATACATGGAAAAATATATTCCAATGTAGACAATGTGCTCCTGGCTGTTATTTTTGTAAGGACCCATCACCATGTTTAGCAACATATCATTGGCCCTTTAGGTGAGTGAAATTATTAGTTCTAGAAATGAACAGTTGAAACTCTTTTCTTTCCAAAAGTTTTGATAAGCATATGCAGGTTGTTTTATTATTATATTCGCATATACTGCAAACCGAATTTAGGCGACATTGAGGTGGAATCCAAAATACAGAATTTCGAAATTTCTTACTTTGATTAAGATTAGAAATCTCGACTTGAGGGATGTATATCTGTTTCTACTGAAAATAAGAGGCTTTACCATCCAGGAATGGGGAAATTTTTTTCAAGCAGCGTATATTCATAACTTTGAGTAACTCAGTAATATATATGTACTACCTATAGAATGAGCATCAAAACGATTCAAATCATTAACATTCTCAAATAACATATCAATGATATTCCTTGGAGTGGTAAAATATGACGTAGAGGCTGACGTTCAGTGAAGCCACCAAACACAATGACCAAACAGAAAAGCAAGGCGTTGAAGTAGTTAGTCAATAGCACCGTAATAAAATAATTAACTAGACATCTAATGCCACAAGATCAAAGGTCAAGTCAGGTTCGAACTTGGTCCAATGAAGCGTGCTCATTCAGGACATGTCATATATCTTACTCACTCTTACATATGTTTCCGAATACCAAGACACATGACGCAATTTCATGAAAGATTGATTGAGAGTTCGAAGTGTTTTCAGGTTGCTGGGGTATGACATAAAGCGGTCTAGATGGTAGCTATATCAGTGCGGTCAAAATCCGAGCTATACAGGGTGTTTCTTAAGTACGTGTAAAATATTCAGGAGCATTGCTGACGTCAAAATCGGAAGAGAAGTTTCTATAAACATACGTCCGCAAGCTGGTCACTTCTGAGATACAGAGTGTCGAAATTTGATCCATATTCCTGTTTTTTTGAGAATAAATTCCGAAGTTATCATAATCGAGCTCAAGTGGAATTTGGTATCTCATTCGAATATCACGATGATTTCCGAATTTATTCACAAAAAAACGGAATAACAATCAAACTTTGACAATCTGTATCTTAGAAACAAATAACTTGCGCACATATGTTTATACGAACTTTTCTTTTTATTTTGACGTCAGCAATAACGCTCCTGATTTTTTTTTCACGTACTCATATAGATCAGATGCGAAACATCTATTTATGTCTATATCGTGCAACAAATACCAACAATTAAACAAAATTGAACTACATACTTATTGTGTTTCCAACGGATATATCAATGTGTGGAAACCGAAACAACAAATTCAATATCAATAGTAAGTGAGATTTTACTTTCCAATTATAGAAAAGTGAATGACAACTCCAGAGAGAGCCATTCTTGTAGGTAGATACTTAATTTTGAGGACAATGTGAACAGGTTTTATATCTATAATTGAAAATCATTTACACTATCAATATCTAGTATTCACAGTTTGCTTCCTTGGCTTTTGAGGTCCCTTGATCCATAATAATATTGAATTTTAGGATGATTTTTGAATAAAGAGGCAGTCATTTCCGGCTCGAATCCGACTCAAAAATCTATAATACGTATTTTCTCGCAAACTTCACGAAACATTAATAATCTCAATACTTATAGGTTTTTTCTTCGATTGTCAATAATGAATTTTTTTATGTTTCAGAATTGCCCTGCTATCATATTCAATTATTTGTGTCATCTGTACTATAATATTAAATATGTTTATGTTTAAACATAGGAAACTGAAGGTATTCAAGGTGGCAAGTCCTATATTTCTCAGTATTACGCTCTTTGGCTGTGCAACTATGTATTTAGAGGTATATACGACTCTTTTCTTTCAAATTCGTGATATTTACAGAGTGATTATTCTTTCAGATGGCTGCTATCTTTCCGATACTGGATCAATACTCATGTATAGCAACAAAATGGTCCAGACATTTAGGATTCTGTGTGACATACACAGCATTATTGATGAAAACTTGGAGGTGAATTTTTCAATGATATTGTTACGATAAAGTCCGTGTTCGGTTTTCTACAAACACTCAGTGGAAAAACGATTTATTCAAACACAATCACTACCGTACTCGAAAATAGTTATATACATGGTGGCATTGAAATAAGTGTAAATATTTCAAACACTGAGAAAGTTCGACGTGTACTATACTGATGAAAAAAGATTCAGGGATCAAAATAAAATTCGAGGTTAGACCCCTTTTTCCAACCAAAGTTCTATACTGTAGCAAATCTGACGTCATCTCTGTTCAAATTTCCATGCGGTAGGCACAATCACGCTGAGTTCAATCATTTAAATTGTTTTAAAATGGCGTACTCGATTTCTTTATCGTATTTTGTTCAATTTTTGAGATAGAATTTATCGTTAATTATAAGAAATAAAAAAAATCTGATATCATGGGAATATTCCATATAGACTGTATCATATTAATGTGCCGAATATGTGCACTTATTTCAAAAACACCTTGTATATGCACCAAGGTAGTGGGGAATATTATTATTACCCAGAGACAAGGAATACCAAGTTCTTATCCCGAAGTTGCAGCCCAGAAGCATGAGGTTATGTTTTAATGATATTCTTTACTACCAAGGTCTATATTGAATTTATTCTCCACTAGCAAAATATTTCAATCATTTTAGTTCTGTGAAACTGGAATTTGGACCCTTTGTCAGATATTTTTAATTCCAATTGAAATCTAGTAGCCATGATCATGACATCATTTGACAAGTCGTTATTGATAAATACCTACTAGATTCGAGTACTACTCCAACGAATCTTGCATCAGAACGGTGATAATTCTGGTTGGGGTTATTATAACAGAGGTGGCTATGTCTTTATTAACTAGTAGTTCATGAAATGACGGAAACTACCTTAGTAGTAAAACACATTTTAGGACTTGAAGGAGAGATATAATAATGGTAGGTTCTAGAGATATTGGTGGAAAACCAACTCTAAATGCATCAATGTGCTATGGCTTTCTTATTACTGATACTAATACCATCGGGCAATCTGCCAAAGATAGTTCTAGAATTTCCACAACATTGCGAGATCCTTTTGACAATATTCTTTCAACTTTCGTGTTTGCTCCATTTCCTTATCATTTCTTGACTACATCTTTCCATCATTATCAATTAGTTATTCATATTTCAAAATTATTCCAGAGTTCAAGAACAGTAATGAGAAAGAATATCACTTCTTGCATCATTGCAGTGACTCTTTTCAATCATGCCAAATACCACTATATTTCCAGAAAAAAATACAATGACGTTATCATTTATAAGCCCTATTAATTCAAATATTTTTTATTGTTTTTCCTTCCTTATAATAGGGCTGAGATAGTAAGTTTCGCTAACCCTGTATAGAACGATTTTTGTGAGACCACTTCGTTCACTTGTTACATAAATAGGTCGCTTGCACAACACAATTTGAAACTGTACCTCACTTGTCTGTAAAACATTGATACACAACCTCACTTTTATCATTTATTTACAAAGGAATCGAAGGATTGAAATAGTTGTTCACAATATTTTGGCCACATTTTGGCACACGAAACATGTTTTTGAGCTATTCATTATACATTATTAATTCTAACATGTCATCACATTGTGCTGTTGTACTAATGCACAAAAAATGCATCGAGAGACGAAGGAATATGATTTTTCAGGTAAATAGTAATCTCACATAGTTTTCATTATAAAATTTTGTCATTTCTCATCAAAATTCTTCCTGCTACTTCTACAATAGGAGCTAATACTGCTAATAGAGTGGAAATGTCTACAACTTGTACACAATCATATTTCGTCAACATGTCAGACCAGATTTCCCGTTCTTGCTTTCTTTCAGAAACTTCACGAGTATTTCTATAGCTCCTATTGCAGAAGCAATTCCAATGAGAATTGATAAACTTCCGAAATAAAAATTATATGTGAGTGACTATAGTACTTTTAGATCACAATAATAATAATGTATCTACCTGAAAAAAGGGTTCCTCTGTCTGCATTTTTTGTGCATTGTACAACAGCACAATGTAATGGCACGCTTGAATTTTATGAATAGCGGAAAAACACGATTCGTATGCCGAAATAATTATGAAAAACCTCGTGAAAAACTATTTCAATTCTTTGTGAACAAATAAGAAAAATGACAAATTTCAGGGTATCCTTAACTTATCGTGTTAAATCTGCTCATAAAGTGAAGCTCACTGACAAGCAACTGCTGCAATGGATGATTCCTATTCTTCTGGTGATGCTCATTTATTTGGGGACATGGACTTTTTCCGATACTCCCAACGCCGAAGAAATAGTCGACAATGAGGAGCTGCGATTCAAACAATGTGTTTACAATTGGTGGGACCATAGTTTGGCCATTGGTGAGTCACAAGAAACACCAAAATCGAATAATAACAACAACAATTTTATTGAACAATATTTGCTGAATAACATGCATGTAGGTCGAACTTGGAGACCCATTGAAACCCGATTCAAATAACATCTTGCACAGTTGAAGTAGCATGTTAGTTTGTACAAATCAATTATAATCGAGTCGTTGAAATTTTGGTTTGATTAGTGGTGAAACAATTTAGAATTCATGTTTAATAATCATATATGCGGTGTCCCAGAACAACGTACCATAAATTCTACAGGGTGAACGAGCGACCAAATTAGGACGGTTGAAATCAACTTTCCTCCATACGAAAATGCACAGTTGAGCCGTGAGAGGTCGATGAAGAACAATTTTATTTCCAGATTTTCGTCAATATTTTGGAATCCTCGAATGGTACTGCTCTGAAATTCGTAAGGCATGGAAAATATGTTGTACCAATTCAATCAGTATATAGGGAGTTAGGTATTTCGTATTTTCTTTGATAGAAATTATTGTAACTTTTTCTTGGAGTATGGCACTGACGATATTTTGATATTTCGATGGATGACAAAATCAATCATCTCACTTTTTTGTAACAGCAGTGATTTTATTTTTTCTCGGTCATTTAGATATCCAACAAAATTCATTTTGGTACTCCTCCATACTTGTTTATGATTATGACGAAAATTATGTTTAGCAAATTATTGCCTCATGTGTGTTGAGTTATTGAACACAATAATCATGTTTATGACCTACTTCAGTTTTTTTACCAAAAATCTTGAACTGATATTTGGAAATGACCAACTGCCACATCATATTGCGGTCAATATAACCCAAGACAAATGAGATAGAAACGACAAAACATGATAAGTGGACTAATTCGTTTTTATTTCTTAAATAGAATCATCACTCAAATACCTTTCAATTTCATAATTTTAAGGATTTTTTCGGTCGATTTTTAGGTGCTAAAATCATCAATAATGCCACGGTAATTTTCAAACGGCTAGAAATTCACCGCCAGTGAAAACTGACGCCACGATTTCGTAAATACAGGCTGTCCCATTTTCGATGTCCTTACGGGATATCTCGCTCAATTTTGAAGATAGAGATTTGCGGTTTCCGCGAACGTTGGCTACTTTTTTGTGAAACTCACGAAACCGTGAACAAAATTTCCATAGCCCACTTCGTTCCTGAGATACAGGGCGAAATTGAAAATATTTCATTTTGGGACCCCCCCTGTTTCTCAGCTATCTTTCAACTTAGAGGAAAAGTAAGAACTGTTCCTTCCACAATTTTTCACGTAGAATCCAGTGGCGTAGTCAGATTTTTTAAATGAGCTGTCGTTATTTAGATATAACCCAAAGTTATGTTTTTTTAAATGGAACACCCTGTATATTTTTCAATATTTGAAACAAGAAAGATTTGCGCTTTTCAAAAATATATAACACTTATATGATATTTTGAGTATTAGTCCTGTATTTGGGTAATTTTCAGTTTTTTATGGCATATCAAGACAAATAACTTCTACTTTTAGAATAGATATTCTGGCGCAATAATTAAATACCACTCATTTATATAGGGTAGAATGAGAAGTATTCTTTTAAAATGATTATTCAATTAACAAATTGATAAAAACAATTTGATAAAACATAAAACAATTTGATAAAACAATAAATTCAAACACTACTACAAAACAATTCTATTAATTTTCCTCCTGTTGAAAATGTCTTATGAATATTGTTCAAATTGCTGCCCATTCTGTTGAAGACACAGCCGACATCTTCTGAGGATAGCGTCAATCGACCGGAGTAAAAATATAGGTCTCATACGTAAATATTCGAAAGCTTCTCTCGTAGCATTCATCAGTGAATCTCGATCTTCATGCCGCGTGTGATATATTTTATTTTTTATATAGCCCCATAAGAAGAAATCTAATATCGATAAGTCAGGGGACCTTGGCGGCCAGTGAATGGGACCATTATTACCAATCCACTGATTTTGAAATCTTTCATCAAGATAAACCCTGATGGCACCTGCGTTATGACAAGGTGCGCCATCTTGTTGGAAGAAACTGTGTCTAAATTGAGCCAACGGAATTTCGTCAAGTAGTTCATAAAGACAATCATCTAAAATTTCCAAATATCTTTGGTGATTCAAGTTACCGTCAAAAATTCGATAGGCAAGTCTTCCTCCATAAACGAAACAAGATACATTAAAGCCGAATCTGCCTTGCTGTTGGCGAACCACCGTAACGTGATGATTTTCATTTGACCAATAACGATGATTATTTCGATTAAATATTCCAGCGCTACTTATATGGCTTTCATCGGACCATACTACTGAACGCCCAAAATTTATATTTTCTTCCGTCTTTTGGATATACCATCTACAAAACTCAATGCGCTTCACAGCATCACCCGGGTACAAATAATGAATAGTTTGTGGTATATAGGGGGTATATTTGTTCTTTTTCAATATCTTGGACACCCTTGTCTTTGGAATGCCAAATGATTCTTCAATTTCTCTGCAAGAAGTATAATTATTGCTTTCTTCTACCTTTGAAAGGACACTAATTTCATCGTTTTCGGCATTTTCTTTCCTATAACTTTTCGGTCTAGGCGTCTCAAAAGATCCAACATTTTCCAAATTTTCTTTCAGTCTGCCAAATATTTTCCTACTTGGTTGTCTCCTCTCGGGATACCTAAATTTTTTATCATATTGTAACTAACTGATACCCAGCAATTGGGAGATAGTAAATACCTTTCAAAATATAGGTCCTTCGCTTGATTTGCATTGAAGCCAACTTGGTAATATATTCCAACCATATCTAATTTCTCGTAGTTTTGATATCCTGGATTATTATTCGCCATTGTATGAAAAATTTGTAAACTTTGACAGGTAGGTGACAAGAATTGTAAACAATCTGCATTTGTGTTTTTTTTTCATAGCTACCTACTAATTAAGTCCACAGCTTTCATAGGCAATTAATAGTACTGAATATTGGTGAATGTGGTGAGTGTGTGACGAAACACTGTGTCAGCAATAAGGGAAATATGAAAATTTGTGAAGTGGATAATGTTGCCAAATTTTTACAAGGCCTATTGATAAGAAACCTACATAAAAAACTGAAAATTACCCAAATACAGAACTAATACTCAAAATATCATATAAGTGTTATACAGGGTGTTATTTAAGTACGTGGCCAAACTTGAAGGGGTGATTCTTTGAGTGATTCTAAGACGAAAAGTTCATATAAACATAGGTCTGGTAATGCTTCGTTTTCAAGATACAGGGTGTCAAAATTTTGAAAAGAAATCGTTTTTTTCGTAAATATCTTAATAACCCTTCAACTGATTTCATTGAAATTTGGCAGTGTTATTCAAGGTCGTAAAGGGCTAATTTAACCCTAACTATATCAAAATTATCATGTCCAGTAGCGTCCCGGAAGGCACTGTAACCAATATTTTTTACAGAAAAAATGTGCGCCACTGATTTTTTTGCAATTTTTGTATTTGTTTCACATTGAGCAATTGAAATTACAACTTCTTCATATCTAGAATTTTTTTCGTATCTTGCTTTGTTTTTGAGAAAAAACATAAAAATCACTTCATTGCACATCCCTGTGACAACACAATAAAACATTTCAACTACCAAACCATCAAAAACTGGGGTCTAACTAATATTTTTGATATAGTTAGGGTTAAATTAGCCCTTTACGACCTTGAATAACACTGCCAAATTTCAATAAAATCGGTTGAAGGATTATTAAGATATTTACGAAAAAAACGATTTCTTTTAAAAATTTTGACACCCTGTATCTTGAAAACGAAGCATTACCGGACCTATGTTTATATGAACTTTTCGTCTTAGAATCACCCAAAGAATCACCCCTTCAAGTTTGGCCACGTACTCAAATAACACCCTGTATATTTTTGAAAAGCGCAAAGCTTTCTTGTTTCAAATATTGATAAACATACAGGGTGTTCTATTTAAAAAAACATAACTTTGGGTTATATCTAAATAACGACAGCTCATTTGAAAAATCTGACTACGCCACTGGATTCTACGTGAAAAATTGTGAAAGAAACAGTTCTTACTTTTCCTCTAAGTTGAAAGATAGCTGAGATACAAAGGGGGTCTCAAAATGCAATATTTTCAATTTCACCCTGTATCTCAGGAACGAAGCGGGCTATGGAAATTTTGTTCACGGTTTCGTGAGTTTCACAAAAAAGTAGCCAACGTTCGCGAAAACCGCAACTTTCTATCTTCAAAATTAAGCGAGATATCCCGTAAGGACATCGAAAATGGGACAGCCTGTACGCCTGTTGCCATTGTCGAAATACGACCGGGAACTCCAGAAATATTAGAAATTTCCAATTGTGTATTAGTTATATTCCTAATTAGCAATAAAAATTCAATTGTCTCAAAATGTTCCCTTATGATTTGTCGCTTATTGCGACGGCGCACGACTTGTGGACGTGGTCTTGTCAATTCTCAGCCTCCAGCACAATGTTGCCAAGTCTCCAACATTTCCATGATATTTTCTTTTGGAGAATAAAAAATATTTGAACATGCTGGTTACTCGAGAATGAACTATGATATCATGACGGTTCCTCTTCTTATGTTCTATTCAACGGCAGATCTTTTTGATAACTTGATTATAAGTGCTGACTTGACAACCTTGCTTCATGACAGGAGATGGAAGATTATCTGACCAATAACGAAACAGCATAAAAACTGACATCACTCGCCCATTCTAACATCATAAACGAGTCGTATATATGGAGAAGCAGCAAAATGAATTTTGTTATTCAGTTCGAAAACCAAGGAGAATAATCAAAAAATAGCAAAAATAGCAACCAGAAAAAAGTGAGATAATCGATTTTGACATTCTTCGAAATATCAAAATGTGGTTAGTGCCGTTCTCCAAAAAGTTACATCAATATTTATCAAAGAGAATGCGAAATACCTCTAACTCTCTGTAAATTGATTGCAATGGTACGATATGTTTTCCATGCACATTCAATAAATTGCCCCCTACGAATTTCAGAGAAGTATCTTCCAAGAATTTCGAGATATTGAAGAAAATCTGAAAATAAAATTGTTCTTATTCGCCCTCTCACGGCTTAACGGCGCATTTTCGTAAAGAGATAAGTTGACTTCAATAGCCCATTTTGGCCTCTAGTTCATCCTGTAGAATTTATGGTACTTTGTTCTGGGACACCTTGTTTATTTTTAATATTCTTTTAAATTTTTTTCAGGCGAAGTGTTATTTTTGGCTTGGGGAATAAGAGTGTGCTACAATGTAAGGAACGCTGAGTCCCTGTACAACGAGGCAAGGTTGATCAGTTATGCAATTTACAATATCGCCATTGTGAATATCATGATGATTGCTTTCCAGTAAGTACCATCAACCGAAGTTTGAGTTCCAATGGGGATGGGGATAAGATTCCTTCTGATAAATTTTAATCAAATTGGTGGAATTGAGGGCGCGAAACCAGATTTCATTTATTATGATGTCTTGGAAACAATGAAAATAAACGACTCCAAAATCTTTGGAGTTGAAATTATGTTCTCATTGCATTTCAAGATCCCGGATTTATCATCAGTAATCATCCGGCCATTTGGCCAATATTATATTCCATCAGTCTCATTACAGTCAATACAAAATTTCTGAATACCCAATATCCAACATATAAGTGGAAACTGGAAATAGCCACATTACAGTTGCACCAATAAAATCGCGTTTGAGTTTTTTATGAACATGGCAGTTCACCAATATGATATCCGCAAAATGGTGAAGGAAACAAAACTATTTTTTCGAATTATTTTCTGGAGTAAAAGTCCACTTTTCCGCAGTCATTTCAGTTTTGAAAATTATACAGGGTGGCCCACGGTCGATGGTACCTTAGACGTATACGGAAAACGGTACATTGGATTATCCTGAAAATTTGGTTACTCTGATAAGCGTTTGTGATCTAACGATTCGAAATATTTTCAGCGAAGCAGCGTTGCCACTTTACCAAAAAGTAGCATCATCTTTGTTATTTCAAATGGAACACCCTGTATTTTATTGCGTTTTTAGATTGTTCTCGAAGAGCTGATTTCATCAATGTATCACACCTGGGGTCTAGCAGGAATTATTACAGACATATAGGGTGTTCAAAATCAAGATTTTTCAATTTCAGGAAATGTTTGTGTCGAAACTATTCATTATCGATCAAAACGGCTTACATCTTAACTTTTGATTCACTATCTACTGACATTTAATTGGAACAGATACAGGGTGATCAAAATTCTGAATCTTGGACCATCCTCCCAGTAAACATTTTTTTGTTTCTGAAATGTTTCAGAAACGTAGTATTGATGCATGAAACATTGCATTCAAAGTTGCCTACATGTTCCAGAAACATTCCAGAAACTAGAGATGTCCGCCCTCAGGAATGTTTCATGGTAATGTTCCTAAATAATGTGTCGAATACGCAAATTGAAACATGTTGGAAACATTTCTACCATGATCATATCCTGTAGGAATGTTCCATGCAATATTTCATAAATATTTCTTTCGTTATATTACATGAAATGTTTCAGAAATATTCGTGAAACCAAAGATATTTGCCCTCAAAACTGTTTCATGAATGATGTTTCGAATACAAATGCTTGAAACATTCTGGAAACATTCCCAATATGATTAGATCTTTAAGAATGTTTCTTGGTACATTTCATGAATGTTTTTCATTCAACAATATTACTGTTTATGAAACATTCCCATTGAATGTTTCAGAATGAAAAATACCTACCAATATCGCTGTAAATATATTCATATTGCTGGTGAAATAAAAGATAATAGACATAAAAAAATGGATTATATTGCTTATATAATGATATATGAAAAAAGCAGTTAAAAAAGTATCATCAAATATTTCACATAATCACGACGTATTAGGTATGTACATATATATCAAGTAATTCAACATCGTTATTCACATGTTGAGTGCTTCAATATTTTTCTTCGGTTACATCGCAATTGAAAGCACTATTCTTGTGCAGCTTCTAAGTCATGATGAAATTTTCACACTCCATCCTAGAACAAAAAGTATCATTATGAATATACCCATCATGATATCTTATAATATTTGATATTTCATCTGAAATTATGGTTTTTCTATATTTATACGTACCTCGGCCTTGTCCATGGAGCCGTTGAATACATTTCAAAGTCCAGCCACACCAGGGGATAATAAAAAAAATGGAGTCGTTTGTGTTGTTTGTTTGGTTGCAAGTTTTGATATTACTTCACATGGCCTAAATCACCTAAGAGGTCTACCGGTACGATTAAATAGTAAACACTCGAAAATGTGTTTGACTTGAGTGAAATAATTATAGTTTATCACTATTATAAGATATTAGATGTCTTTTGCTTTGCTTGGCTTGAGACAACAGTCGGAAAGTGAAAACTGCGAAGCCTTTCACCAAGGAGAAGGAAACTGAATGCGCGTGCGCGAACGCTTAGAGCCGAAGACGAGAACCCGCGATCGATTACCGAAGCGGCCGAAGCCACGAAAGCGGCGGCTGTAGAGGGGAAATGCTGAATTGCATCATAATATGATAAAATGCTTGGTCAAAATAGACCATGTAATAGTTGTAAAATGATCTAAAATTAATTTATCGAAATTCGGGTTATTTTGAAATATTCTTAAATTGACCAATTCAAGTTGCATGTCTTTGAATATTGTAGTAGGTAAGTAATTCCTAATAAATGTGTCAAAATGTCAATAATTTGAGGAGCCTTGGAATTTTTCAAACATATTCCTAACGCATTGGAACATTCCTGAATCAGTATTGAAAGATATGTTTCAATTGAAGTGATTTTGAAACGTTTCATTAATTAATCATTCAAGTAATTTTGGAATGTTTCGGAATATATCAATTAAAGTTGTCTTGAAATGTTTCAGAAATGTTGCAATGATATTGAAATATCCCTGGAATGTTCCTGATGAATGTTTCCATTATTCAGAATGAGAGTGATATCGAAATGTTCCAACCATTTGAAATTCAGGAAATTTTGAAATGTTCCTTAATCAACCAATTTCAGTTGTCTTTTGATATTGCAGTAATTCGCAATAAGAGTATATTTGGAATGTTTCAAAATTTCTATAGTTTGATGAACCTTGAAATGTTCCAAACATATTCCAAACGCATTGGAACATTCCTGAATAAGTAGAAAATGATATGTTTCAATTATTCACAATTGAAGAAATTTTGAAACGTTTCATTTATTAATTATCCAAGAAATTTTGAAATGTTTCGGAATATATCAGTTGAAGTTGTCTTGAAATGTTTCAGAAATGGTACAAAGATTTTCAAATATTCCTGGAATGTTCCTGAAAGATGTTTCCATCATTCAGAATGAGAGTCATATTGAAATGTTCCAATCATTTAAAATTCAGGTGATTTTGAAATGTTCTTCAATCAAGCAATTCAAGTTGTCTTGAAACATTGAAGTAATTCGCAATGAGAGTATATTTGAAATGTTTCAAAATCTCAATAGTTTGAGGTACCTTGAAACGTTTCATACATATTTCGAACGCATTGAAACATTCCTGAATAAGTAGTAAATGATATGTTTCAATTATTCACTATCAAAGTTATTTTGAAATGTTTCATTCATTCACTTCTCAAGTAATTTCGAAATGTTTTGGAATATATCAATTACAGTTGTTTTGAAATATTTCAGGAATATTACAGTGATTTTGCAATATCCCTGGAATAATGCTGAAAAATGTTTCTATCATTCAGAATGAGAGACATATTGAAATGTTCCAATCATTTAAAATTCAGGTGATTTTGAAATATTCCTCAATCAAGCCATTCAAGTTGTCTTGAAACATTGAAGTAATTCGCAATGAGAGTATATTTGAAATGTTTCAAAATATCAATAGTTTGAGGTACCTTGAAACGTTTCAAACATATTTCGAACGCATTGAAACATTCCTGAATAGGTAGTAAATGATATGTTTCAATTATTCACAATCAAAGTTATCTTGGAATGTTCCATTCATTCACTTCACAAGTAATTTCGAAATGTTTCGGAATATATCAATTATAGTTGTTTTGAGATATTTCAGGAATGTTACAGTGATTTTGCAATATCTCTGGAATGTTCCTGAATAATGTTTCAATCATTAACATTTTAGGTAATCTTGAAATATTTCATAAATGTCTCATGTTTACTGTGGGCTGTATTTTTCCCAATTAAATTTCGGTAGATAGTTAATCAAAAGTTAATATAGGGACATGTAAGCCGTTTTGACCAATGATGAATAGTTTCGACACAAAAAAATCCTAAAGTTGAAAAATCTCGATTTTGAACACCCTATATCTCTGTAATAATTCCTGCTAGACCCCAAGTGCGATACATTCATGAAATCAGCTCTTCGAGAAGAATCTGGAAACCCAATGAAATACAGGGTGTTCCATTTGAAATAACAAAGATTATGCTACTTTTTCGTAAAAGTGGCAACGCTGCTTCGCTGAAAATATTTTGAATCGTTAGATCACAAACGCTTATTAGAGTAACCAAATTCTCAGGATAATCTAATGTACCGTTTTCCGTATACGTTTAAGGTACCATCGACCGTGGGCCACCCTGTATACAATATCATAATTGAAAGTTTGAAATCCAATTTTATTTCAATGCGAAACAATGAAATTCATGATTACCAATTCCATCTTGATATTGCTCATTCTTCTATACCGGGTGACACAGGAGACATGTAGCAGCCTGTAGTTTTTTTATTTGAAGAGATAAAATTTTGAAATCCACAGGGGGTATATAATAAATGGTAGAGCACTCTACGAACTTTTAGACATTTTTTTTCAACCACCTGTTTGACCAGAAGTGACCCCAACTTTTTTTTTGAATGTCACCATGTACATATCTGTATCTTTTTCGCCCTGAAATTCTCTTTCCAACCATGTATCACAAAGTGGCATTTATTTCTTGATTCGCTGTTGAATTGCTTTTTATTAAAAAAGAATAAGTTGAGTTTTTTATGAACATGGCAGTTCACCAATATGATATCCGCAGAATGGTGAAGGAAACAAAACTATTTCTTCGAATTATTTTCTGGAGTAGAAGTCCACTTTTCCGCAGTCATTTCAGTTTCGAAAGAGTCACTTCTTCGCACTAGTGCGGAAAAAACTTTCAACACTTAAATGATTGCGGAGAATAGGAATTTGGAAGTTCACCTCACGCTAGTAGAAAAATTATTGTACCTAACACGTGCGTCATTTTCCGCACTTGTTAGGTAAACTACAATATTGATACAATCTCTTTTCAGCTTATTCATCTTTCCCCGAGCTGGTCCTGATATCAAATATTTGCTAGGATTCATCCGAACGCAACTGTCAACAAGTACTACTATTGCTCTCGTTTTTGGGCCCAAGGTAATGATTTCTTCGAAATTATACGAATAAGTCAACTAATTTTTCCATAAACTATTCTGCAACGATCATGTATTGATTGCCATTACATAATAGTTGCATGCACAATTTTTCCTACGAGCAACTAAGAAATAATGAAATGAAAACAAGAACAAATTTAAAACTTCATGTTTCTATTTCACCATATGTCAACTTTCCTAATTTATGAATTGCCTGTACTTCTGATGCGTTATGATTGGATGTCAATTGAAAATGAATCTCAAACAACTCGAAAAAGTATCATGTAGAAAGATGAGGACCACTTGACGCATTACGCGTTTCTATAGACCAAAAATTCGTTACATAATGTATAGTACCTATTTACATCGGTAAAAATCTGTTTCAAAATGAGATTTCGTGTTGAAATGTACATAATATCAACGAACCGGTAGCAGATATTTATTTCACGTATTATGGAAAAAAAAAGGTACACTAACAAATTTTCAAAATCGGAGCTCATTAAACTCTGCCTGTTCGTGATAACCACCTATACTCATACTATAGACTGTTACTCAGTGGGACGAACTTCAGGGGTGATTCCATCTGATATTTCAGGAAATGAACCTTTGCTCCCAAGATATATAATATACCTATACATAGTTTTATTCACGAACGCATATATTTGAGATCAATGTGTTACAAAAGTGTAGAGGGACGATTGACCGATTTGACACCTCTGTCATATTGAATTTGTTTATTGTGTAATTGCATTTCGAAGTTTCGATTGAGTAAGTTTGGAATATGAGGAAGTGTCTGAGATCATTGAATGCGAAAAGGAAATTGTTATTTTTTTACGGCTAGAACACAAAATTGCTCATGTTCTACTGTGTTAGATACATCGTAGGTACTTTTTTTGTCATCAATTCCATTGCCGTATCTGATGTGTTATGATTTTTAAAAAATCTTATCGCCCACAGAATGTCAAATTTCAAGCAATGACGGCTCTGTCTAATAGATGAGCATTACTTGAGAGAAAATCAGAGGACTATAAGATGAAGAAATCAAAAATGTCGCTGTTATTGGTTACAGCCGTAAAAAAATTAATGTGTATAACTTACACGGAATGATTGCAGCATTCTCCTACGGCTCATTCTCGTGGAAAATCACATTATTTCCGTGCTCGTTTAACAATATTGTCACACCTGGTATACCAAAGGAACAATTCATTCGATTCATTCAATTCATTAAGAAATATCCATTGAAGAAAATAACAGTACTCAGTAGATAATATTCAAAGTCATTCACATAACAAACTTTAGATTCCTCAACCAAAGATAATATAGAAAATTTTGAACCAGTCAAGCTTCTTGGAGTGTATTTGGACTCATCTTTAAATTTCTTACCTCATATTCAAAAATTATCGAAGCGCCTATCAACGTGTATATATGTAATAAGACAACTTAGCAAAATAATAACAACAGACTGTTTAAGAGTAGCTTATTTTGGCATTTTCCACAGCATAATGACATACGGACTGATAGTATGGGGTTCATCATGTCATTCAGATATAATATTCAAATTACAAAAAAAAGTCAGAATTATGGCACAGGCCAAATATGCTGACCATTGTAAACCTTTTTACAAAAATCTCCACATGACTCTGCGATCTTGCTTCATATATGAATGTTTGTGTTATGCCAACAAATTAGGAGGTGAAAATAAAGTTACCAGGCAGGAGAACATACACCACCATGATACCAGGACCAAAACAAATTTGAGACTACCCCAATATAGGTTGATCAAATCGCAAAACTCTTATTTATATTTATCTTTAAAATTTTTTGATGTGTTACCTAATGAGTTTCAGTCTCCTGACATGAGAATAAGCACTTTCAGAGTGAAAATCAAAAACATTCTTTTAGAAAATGCTTTTTACACATTTGAAGAATATTTTGTTCATTTCTAACGTTTAATTAATTCGTTAACTGCCTAGTAGTAACAGATATTTTGTGTACTGCTATATTTCTGTTTTTGACGTCTGTATTCTTTGCCAAGAGTTTTGTATTTGACTGTATATTCACTGTACAATGTTTTTTTGTTTTTGTCACACTGATTTTGATTCATACGAATACTATATGTATTACTATTGACGTATGCAAACACTTTATGCATGTACTGCACGAATAAACTCCTATTCTATTCTATATGTAATTCAAACCCGGCTCAAATTTCACAGACGGGAACTAAGTAAGCTTTTCCGGCAAAATTCATAGAACTTGAAAGTTCACCTATGAGGTAACGAACTCGATAGATACGATTATTGCTGATTCTGATAACTCGGCAAGTATCGGCTATAAAACAATTGGAATGGGGATGTTTGGGACAATCGGTATCAATCAGACTCGGTAAGAGAATCGGTACGACGCTCATTACGAGTACGGTAGTTTTTTTGGGTAACCACCATAGTTAGTTAGCGGTCGTCAACGCCAGCCCTTAGCCATGGTACGCATCTCCTCTTCCGCCGGAGCAGCAAGTGTTGTATTGACAATGTAAGTACATTTTGTAATTGAAAAAACTGTTTTATTACCTGGTACAGCCCCTGTAATTATCTCGAACCACATTGATAGTTAGATCCAGAGATGTAGGATTTCACTAGAAGGTGTAGCCATAAGGTCACTTCAATTTAATTCACTTCACTTAACTTTTTTGTCTCACTTCACCTTTTCTGTTGTTGCTCACTTGTTCACTGTTTTTGTTTATCATTCAATAAATGTCAATTTATGTTAAACAAAACATGCACTCTTTCCTTGCCACAATCGAGTTACGATAGTGTGGTAGTTGGGACACTCTCTTGCTGCTAAGCATAAGATCACGCAGCCGGGGACGAAGGCCCCGTGGTCGTGACACAATACTATTGTTTTATAGTAGTGACGGAGACATTGATTTGATTAGAGATTATATCTCAGATCTCTACCAAGGAAGCAAGCTGAAGCCAATTAATTTTATCTCCCACTGGAGGTAATCTTTTTTTCATCCCGTGGGAGTTAATCGACAGGTTTGTGTCCTTAAACAAGGAAACGCTTACTTTCGATGCAGTGAGTAGATAATAGTATATTGTTTAACGAGCACGGAATGATAGTGATTTCCTACGAGGATGAAGTTTGCAGCATGAGCCATAGGCGAATGCTGCAATCACTCTAGTAGGAAATTAGCGTTTCGTGCAAGTTATAAACTATAATGTTTCTACAACTATAATAGATAACAGCGGCATTTTAGATTTCTTCGGCTCGTTGCCATCTGATTTCCTGTCGAGTAATGCTATTAGACAGAGCTGTCATTGCTTGCAATTTGACATTACATGAGCGATGAGATTTTTTGGAAATAATATCACAATGGAGTCATTGCGATATCAGGTACGGAAAAAAATTGATGACATACAAAGTATACCTCATTTGATGTATCGAACACAGTAAAACAAGAGCAATTTTGTGTTATAGCCATAGAAAAACATTATTGTTGCATTAATTTTTAGGTGATAAGGGTGCTGCGTGGTCAAGGTGACCAATGGGACAATAGAGCCAGGTCTCGAGGAGTAACGGCTTCCTTTTCACTTAACGGAATTGGACTAGTTCCAGATGAAGCACCTGATTTATATCAAGAAAATGAGGAACTAAAGGTACACAACATCAAAATTACACAGAATAATTCCAATCGCATGAAATTCACTCTTGCCCCATACATTTTCCACATACAGTGTGTTACAATTTTGTCCACCTCACCTCTGGTACTTTCGTATTCCTAGGACCATTTGGATTTTTTTTACACAGAATAATTTCAATCGCATGAAATTCATTCTTGCGCCGTGGTAGAGTTTGTCAATGCGCTGAAATTCGCTAGATAGCCGTTCACGATGCGAAGATACTGTCGGTTTTAATCACGCAACGGATTCCATTATAAGCTGTAAGTCCCGCTCTTCCTAATCCCGCCAAAGTTTCGTCTTCTGGGGAGTTGGTTCCCAACTTTGGAGTATCGATATACAAATTTTACAGAAACAAAAATTTACATTTGTCACACACAGTGTGTTACGATTTGGTCCACCCCACCTCTGGTACTTTCGTATTCCTAGGACGATTTGAATTTTTTTTCTCAAAATATATACACTACTTAAAATCATATACTTTGACGAGCAATAAAAATTATCAATCACAATTTCACAGCCTACTGCGATCACAAAAACTCCAGCAAAATTATAAAAACGGATAAGGCATTTTTTTTTAATTCGAAAATGACAATTTCAATAAAATATCTGCATTATAAAAGGTATAGAAAGACATTGAAAGTGCTGTACCGTTGACTATATGATACACCATCAATTATATAAAATAACTTAAGCATTCTCATCAGAAGAAATGTTCAAAATTGAAAATATGAAAATTACATACAATATCATAATTGAAAGTTTGAAATCCAATTTTATTTCAACACGAAATAATGAAATTCATGATCACCAAACTAGACACCATGGTTTATTTCATCTTGATATCGCTCATTCTTCTATATATAGGTTAAAAAAGATTCACCGACGCTGCTCTGTCGATAGTAAATCACAAGTTGAGATAGGGACATGAAAGCCGTTTTGACTAATAATGAATAGTTTCGACACAAAAAAATGCTAAAATTGAAAAATCTCGATTTTGAACACTTTATATCCCTGAAACCATTACAGCTAGACCCCAAGTGTGATTCATTGATGAAATCAGCTCTTCGAAGAGAATCTAAAAATGCAATAAGATACAAGGTGTTCCATTTGAAATAACTAAGTTGTTGCTTCTTTTCGTTAGAAGCGGCAACGCCGCAAGGCTGAAAATATTTTAGAACGATGTCCCCCTCGAAAATGTAGTTGACGTGTTTCAGATTTTCTTCATAATCCGGTTTTGGCAACCTACGACAGAGCCTCTGTTTCGTTTTCAAAGGCCCACTCTGTATAGAGCAGACCAGTATAGTTACAGCTCACTAGATTTTTTCTCCATATTTAGCAGAGCTCACTAGATTTTCTCTCCATATTTGGCAGACAATGCTCGAAAGTATACTATTCAGAATAAAAAAATCTGATTGAATATTTTTTCCATACATTTCACAATAGTTCTTTCATGTTGTTTTGGATTGTTCTTTTTTTCACTTGAAATATTATACAGGGTGTGAATGAATAAATGCGAAAGAAGTTAGGGGGAAGTTCATATTTTATGAAAGAAGTGCACAAATTAACATTTGTCCTATCTTTATTTTCGAGATGCATGGCAGCAAATGTTTTCATTAAAAATCGTTTATATATAATCAATTATTCAAAAGTTTTCAGCCCATTTCAATAAAACTTAGCGGTTTCGTCAATAGAGCATACATGGAGCTTTTTTTGGTGAAGTTATATTCGTATAAGACTTCCAGTGGCGTCGCAATGAGTAAATTTGTCGATAATTATGGTGAATATCATTCATTGTATGCCACTGGTTTTTTTTAGTTTCATATATTTTGATTCAAGTAGTTGCTATCAAGAGCCAATGAGATTACTCAATAACTTCAATAAGTGCCATTCTAAAATTTTGAGACTTTGCAATTCACCAACCAGATTGAATATTCTTGCTACCATGAGTTTACACAGGGAGATTAAGCATAAAAATAAAAATTAATACTTCCAAGTTCAACATCCCGTATATCAAAAACGAATCAAGTTGGGACGCAAGTTTATGGGAACTTTATCTTAAAATACGACAAGAAATCACATCATGAGTTTCTTGCACTCCTATATATACATTCATACCCTGTAGAAGTAGAGAGCATTACTTTGTATGCTTATAATTATACTATTTTCATATTGTAGGTACCTAGTTTATAAATAACGTTTTTTTTTAAGAACACGTTATGAAACTGGTGCATGTGACAGTATATTAGTACCTATACAGGGTGTTTCCTAATTGAATGTCAATACATACGATCGATCATCTCTAGATCACATCTCTAGACGATCTAGAATACAAAATACCTATCAAGTTATAGAACACTCGACATTCAATTATTCAATACTCACTTCCCATTCATGAATATATTCATTATGAGGAAAAATCTAAATCCACATTAGGTTGAATATTTTTATAACTGTATTTATTTTCAGTTGAAGAAAATAATATAAATGGAAAATATAACTTGATACCTAATACTTTGATTTGAAATGAAATGATATGTCCAACGGTTGAACGGTGTAAATATTGCCTCATTGCTTGACAAAATGTTATCACCAAACGTGACACCGACAGCAGCTAGTTCGCGAAATTGGCTTTATCGACTCGGCAACAAAATATTTCTATACTCCACATTTATAAACTGAAATAATTGGATTGAATGTTGGAATCGTGCGGAAAATATTGTACACCACACGCGTTAAAGTGTGAAAGTGACACGATATCGATTTGCTGACACTTCCATATATATCTTTTACTTCCGGTGATTTTTATGAAAAAGACTATATATAGTAGGATAGCCGCCGGCTGCAGATTCCCACTGTCATCTGATAACGAAATGATATATGTCCCAAAGAAATGTAAAAACATGTCAGTTCATCGAACGGCACCTGTGCCAATCACTATCCTGGGCGAAATGATTAAAAAATAGCACTTTCCTTTGGGAAAATGTTCACTTGACTTTGCGATTTGATAACGTGATGAGAATTTTGCCAGCCGATACCAATAATTTGATGATAGATCTCAGAAACCTACCTGTACCACCCCTGAGTCTGAGCCAATTACATATAGCACAGCGATTTATTTGCTCCTATTATTTCGGACATACTCCCGTCATTGCTAACGAGTTGAATCAAAAAGCAAATGAAAGGGGAAAATGTCCCTATTGCGAATACCCATACGTGCCGCGAATCAAACTGATCAAAGCTAGTGGCAGAGCGTCAATATTTCCGTGAACATTTCGCCCTCGTCGAAAGATATAATAAAACGTAGAAATTGACAGCTACGCATGCGCATTTTCCAATTCTTCACGTTTGCGTTGTTAGTGGGCTTACGGGTGTACGTTAGGAAGGAACGTGAGATCCTTCACGTATACCTTAAATATCAACGTACGTTAACCAAACTATACTCGAAATATGCCGATGAGTCAAAATTATCAGATTCGAGATCACCAACGAGTTCTGCATCAAGGAGTCCTCTAATTTTGACAGGAATAAATGTTCGAATCTAAACACACAACCAAAAATGACCAATACAAACCGAAAACAAAATGTATTATTACGTTATGATGACAGTGACGACCAAAGTGGCGACTCAATTTAACGACATCAATACGTAAACGTTATTTTTCGTACGTTAACGTCTACGTGGAGGTCTACGTACAGTGATTACTTCAACTCTCTAATATCCGATGCAGCATAAAGCGCATGTGGTGCTCACACTGTGTATTCTAATCTACATGTTGTGTTTCATACTGGTTCATGGGACATTTTTTTTGGAGGGGAGCGAAATATTCTGGGAAGTATTGACCCTCTGTCACTTACTTAGATCAGATCGCGGCGACATCATCTCCTTTTATTTTCTTCTTGTTTCAACTCGCTATCACATGAAAAGTAGTATGTCCGGAAAAATAGCATCAAATCACAAAATCAAGTGCAAATTTCCGCATAGGAAAGTGCATTTTTTCAAATATTTTGCTCAGGATTATGAATGGCACCCCTAATAACACAACTCGATCCAATGGACGTCCTATGGGCATCCTCCTCTGGACATCCTCCTCTAGACATCTCGGACATCCATAGGACATACAGGTTGTGTACACTGGATGACGTATGGACATCCATAGGATATCGCGTTTCCAACTTTTTAGCTATCCATATGTTATCTGTCATGGACATCCATATATGGTAACTTTTATAGGATGTCTAAAATGTATGCATTCATATACAGGGTGTTTCAAAAAAACCTAACCCCCTTGCTAGGGTAGGTAGAACATTGTGAAATAAGTTGGGTTTGCTCAATGAAAAAATGTCGTAACAGCATCCGTTTTCATGATACAAGGTGTTGAAAAAATTATTTTTTTACACATTTTTTACGATTATTCCGAAACTACTGGCAACATTGTAATGAAATTTTGTATGGATGTTTCTTGAAATCTGACACATCGCATGAATTCCTTTTTTGTATCGGACTCTCATAGAGGGCGCTAGTTACACGGTTCGTACCGAGTAGTTTTGAACATAACTTTTTTGAGGTTAGATTTTTCAATCCAAATATGATATGAACTTGAACATCATTCAATTTTACACCAAAAAGGTACTCCTGGTGAAACTCGATACTATGTTCCGTTTTATCTAATAATATCAAATTGAAAGTCGAACGCATTGTCCGAAGTGAATTTTTGGGTCGTAACTCCTTATTATTCCTGGAAATAAATCTGAGATATCTGCTTAGGTTGGAGGATTATAAGTTTTATTAGCTTTTCCAACATGTCACTGTTACATTCAAAAGTTTTCGACTGAATATACCGGGTGGCCATGAGAACCTGGCCGCCTCTGTAACTCTTGATTCGTTCGAGATGAAATTTTGATATTTGGAGGGTTCATATAACATCATATTTTGCATTCACTGATATTATTTTGCATATCGAGTTACTTCCGGTGTTTCCGGAAATGACCTCAACTTTCGAATGTATATTTTAACATTTCTGCTCCACTGGCAAAGTGACTACAAGAATGTGAAAGGCCAATAGATTTTTGCCGTTGAAGTCATTTCCCCAACAGAGAAAGCATTGGGCCAATAGCTTCCCGGTAGTTCATTGTTTGTTGGGCTAGGACTATCAACTGATGGGCCGTAAAGAATACTGATCAACTAATTCCAAGTATACAGATGTGGAAAACTGCCGGCATATAGAATTTCCAATACGTTTCGACAAAAGTTATTGTATATATAGGAGTCAAGTCATAATGTTTGTCGGTGACTCAACCGAAAAGATACATATAATGATGAATGAAGATGGAAAGCCCTAATTTCCAGTGACAATGGAAAATGAAAAAAAAAAACTCCACCGCCCCGTGTGAGAGTCGAACTCACAACCTCTGGGTTACATGCCCAACGCTCTGCCAATTGAGCTATAGGGTCATCCGTCGATCATTATATGTATCTTTTCGGTTGTTATACAGGGTGTTTCGAAATTCGACCGACAACGTTTGACAGGTGATAGCCCTCGTGATTTCATAATCATTGAGATAGGAACATTCGGTCTTCAAGTGTTCAGTTCTCGAGATACAGGGCGTTGAAGTTGAGAAATGAAAATAGTTGTTTCGCAATATCTCAAGAATAATTGAATATAATGCATTCAACTTCGGTATATGGTTTCATCTTTGAATGGGCCATTTTTTGACCTGGAAGCCATTCCGGACATTTTGTCCAGTGGTGCCCTACAGGGGGTTGTGGCATTTTTTCCTTCCATATTTTCTACGCCACTGATTGAATTTCGATTATTTCCAATTCCTCGAATTCATTGTTCAATTTTGTTCAGAAAATGCATCACCTCCAACTGAGCTGAAATAAACAGTTTTCGAGATATTCGACCCAAAATAGAAGATTGCATAGTAATATTTCATCATTTTCAGTAGTAGAAAATTGCAAAAATATTTTTCTGGTGTTGAGTAGATTAGATACTATTCAGATCTCATTCCATAGCTGAACAGAAATAGTTATTCCACACATGAAGAGAAAACAAAAATTTTCGTAATTTTTTACTACCGAGGAAGATGAAAAATTACTATGCATACTTCTATTTTGGGTCAAATATCCCGATAACTGTTCATTTTAGCTCAGTTGAAGGTGATGCATTTTTTCAACATAACTGAACAAACAATTCGAGAAATTGGAAACAATTGAAATTTCATCAGTGGCGTAGAAAATATGGGAGGAAAAGTTATCACAACCCTCTGTAGCGCATCTCTGGATAAAATTCTCGGAATGTCTTTCTGGTCAAGAAATTAATCAGTGAAAGATGAAACCATATACCGAATTTGAATGCATTATATTAAATTATTCTTGAGATATTGCGAAAAAACTATTTAAATTTCTTAACTTCAACGCCCTGTATCTCGAGAACTGAACACTTCAAGACCGTCTGTCCCTATCTCAGTGATTATGAAATCACGAGGGCTATCACCTGTCAAGCGTTGTCGGTCGAATTTCGAAACACCCTGTATATCGTTGAATCTTCAAGTATAAAAATAGCTGAAACCTCGAACCACACGGTATAGTTTTTATTGTACAAAAACATCCTGTTCTTATATGTACAGCTCTTGGACGAGAACTACCTTTTCAGCAGTTGGAAATAAATGTTTGTTAAATTCGCACGCGTTCATTTAACAATTCATCTATAATTCCTTTCGTCCACATTGATTGAAAGTGAAAATAGAACAGTAAAGTATATTTTTGGACGAGCTATCACATCCTGAAGTCCTACGCTTATATTATGAAACACTCTGTATAGAAGGACCCTTCGTGAATCGATTGTCAACTGACCTCGTGCAACTGATGAGGCTTGGCATGCCGAGACAGAGTCTGTCTGCATCAGCTGACGATCGATTCACCGAATTCCCCTAGATACTCTTAGTCCTGATGAGAGCTCTTAGGTTTATCTTGATCTAATATCCACCAATGTCGTTTTCCAGGAAGAAATCCAGAAACTGGCCGCCCAAATCGAATTCATGAAGATCGTCCACATGGAGAGCAACAACAGGCATGTCAAACCGAAGAGCGGCGGCTACTTCTCCTCTCTGAACGCTTCCTCGGTGGTGCAGAGCCCGCTCAGCAAGCAGGGATACATGCTGAGCCAGCCCGGCAAACCGCCCGACGAGCTGCTGTGACATAACCTTAAAGGAGGGCAACCTCTGAGAGACGGGCTAGAGAGGTTCCGGCTCAGCTTGAAAAGGAAGAGGAAGAGCCAGGAGGGAGAGGTACCCTTGTAAGGTTGGAGGAGGGATGAAAGCCAGTTGCCTTCTAGATTGATTAAGTGTTTGTGTCATTCATTTTCTTACGTCAGAGTACATACTGGGAAGGTTTTATCGCAGAATAAAGAGTTTCGAGAGGGATGTGCCATCGCAAAAGGTATCGACCTAGTATGTTATACCTATACTGGAAAGGTTTTAGATAGATAGATAGATATTTATTGTATTGAAAGAATTACAATTCTTATTACAAGGGTTGGGTAATCTGTGATTAATGAATACATGAGAACTAATAGCTAAAACGAAAACAAAAATCCTTCCTGCGGAACCTAGATAGGCATTGAAACAATAATTGATATGCAAATTACTCATTCACAGCAAAGAATCTAAGCCTCAACAAATTGATCAGAACCTGTACTAGGAGTTTTCAAGTCAGCTAGGCCACCATAATTCAGAAGATATATTAAATCATCTAGAGATTCAACGTCTTGAAATAATCGACAATCCCTGATACCAGCATAAACTGGACATTCAAAGAGAATGAAAAGGAAAGGTTTTATCGCAGTTTAAGGAAATAATGAGTTTGGAAAGGAAGGTGCAATCGTAGAAGGTATCATGGTTGGGGAAAAATTGAGATTACTTGATCGCTCTCACATAACCTCAGAAGGGGGCAACCTCTGAAAGACGGGCTAGAGAGGTTCCGGCTCAACTTGAGAAGGAAGAGGAAAAGCCAGGAGGAAGAGATGTTGTTTTTAAGGTCATGCAGAGTACATACTGAACAGGTTTTATCGCAGATTAGGAGAATAAAGAGTTTGGAGAGGGGCGTGCTATCGTAAAAGGTATCGAGGTAGGGGTAAAATAGAGATTACTTGATCGCTGTGACATAACCTCAAAGAGGGGCAACCTCTGTGAGACGAGCTAGAGAGTTTCCGGCTCAGCTTGAGGAGTCAGGAAGGAGAGGAACCTACCCTTGTGAGGTTGGAGAGGAAGGGATGAAAGCTATTTGCTTCTAGATTGAATCTGTTTGCGTCATTTCATTATCTTTCTCAGAGTACGTACTGGGAAGGTTTTATCGCAGAATAAAGAGTTTGGAGAGGGATGTGCCATGGCAGAAGGTATCGACCCATGTACCTATACTGGGAAGGTTAGATCGCAGTTCAAGAAAATAAAGTGTTTGGAGAGGAAGGTGCAATCGTAAAAGGTATCGGAGTTGGGGAAAAATAGAGATTACTTGATCGCTGTGACATCACCTCAAAGGGGGGCAACCTCTGAAAGACGGGCTAGATAGGTTCCGGCTCAGCTTGAAAAGGAAGAGGAAGAGCCAGGAGGGAGAGGTACCCTTGTAAGGTTGGACAAGAAGGGATAGAAGCCAGTTGCCTTCTACATTGATCAACTAGTTGCGTCATTTCATTTTCTTACGTCAGAGTACAACTAGATTACAATATACGCTTTCTGAATTATAATTGGAAAAGGAATAACATTTCGATCATTGACCGACAGATTTGCCAAAATAGGAGTCGGTCGGTACCTACTAATGTTCTGAACCTATTAGTCCTGACAGTTTGATAGTGTGTTATGAAAGCTGTATTGGTACATCTTATCTACTTCTCTTCATGCGATCATAGTCTGGCTAATGCAAAAAACAATCGCGAAATTAGACTATAGAAAAAATATGAATATTGTCAATTTGTAGAATTGTATTATACCTCTTAAAAGAGAATATCTAGATTTTAAGAAATTGATGGAGTATCCATTCTATATTATATATATATGATAAATGTTCAAATTAATGTGGACTGAGATCAACATAATAGTAGAATAGTGCCTGATAATACATTTCTGTCAAATTCTTCAGATGCGAACATTGGAAAAACTTATTACGTTTTCAAAAATTTCAACTGCCTCCCTATGAAAGGAAAATGTAACTAATATTTTCTGATCTCGAATCTAGACACGGTTTTGAAATTTTTTGAATTGTCACACTCATTATCAAAATATGATAATTTTCATAAGAGGATGCATAGGTAATTAAATGCTCCAATTCTGGTTCAAACAACCTTGAATTGATGCATGATCAATATATTAATTGACACAAGGCCCTCAAAACACATCCGGTTGACACAGTCGAAGATTATGCTGAATCAAAATGTATCGAAAAAAAAATCGATTTCATGACTTGTACTACAAACTTCTCCATTGAGTTGATATCATTTTGTGAAAAAGAAATCATGACATAAAATGTAATGCCCCCCCCCTCGAATTTCATGGCCTCCTTTTCACAGAATTAGATCACAAAAATCATGTATTTTGAATTCACAAATTATTGTGATTTATTTCGCACGTGCGCTGCATTCCATTTGAGTCTGGAAAACATAAGATAGCTTGCGGCTTATACGATAAAAGTTGTGTAACTCTGCAATGCCATGCAATATAGTGCGACAATTGTCTCGCCATACCACCAAATCTTTTAAATCTCAAGGTTATCAGAAGGTTATAAGGTAATATGTGGATTTGAGGAAGGAAAAAATAGATTGCACGAAAAAGGAGATTACTTTCAACCTAACTCGGCCTGAATGAAGCTTCCTTCTGAAAAGTATAATTTTTCCGGGAATTACTTGAGTGAATCATCATCAATCCGTGATTCTTATTGATTCCATGCTCAGCTCTAATGGCAGCAATATTCCTGGTGAGCTCACTACCCTGAACATGAAATCTATAAAATTTGTTTGATATTCTCAGAATATAGTCTATTATGTATGGAATATCAACACACCGTTCATAGAAATCTGCCACCCGAGAATATCGATTACTCGCTTATAAATCAATAGCTTAAATACTAAATGATACACAAAGTCATCATTTAGATTATATAGTTGACTCCACTTTGAGAAACCATGAACTTCTACCAAAGATTAATCAATAGCTTGTTTTCCAATGTCAGCACGGTATTTCCGGCTAGCAAAGGATACCTTATCCCTACCTGGGTTTTTTGTATCAAATGAATGGAATTATTTCTGAATGACAAACGTCTGTCCAATTTTACTCCCAGGTATTTCACAACGGGAGAGTCCGTAACCTCCGTGCCCTTAACAGTCAAAGGTTGACGTAATACATTGTTCGTGAATTTTCTGCTAACATTGATGACTTCTGTTTTCGTATTATTTACGCCGATCTTCAACTCTTCAAAGTACGGTATGACCCCCTGGCCAGATGAAACTGGATCTGTGTCCTGGCGATATCCGAGTCGAACGAGGGCGCATGTAACGCTGGTTTGAAGTTTAAGACAAATCATAGTCTTTCAAATGATTGGGAGTTTTACGAGATCTTTTAGATTTCTCAAATTTCGTCTTGTTACTATCAGGAGTATTATAGTCACATCCGGTAGTGCCACTTACTTCACTCAGTTCATTTTCACTGCTATCGCTATCAGTGTTATGGACATTTGATCTATTACCTACAGAAGATTTAGAACTATCACTCAAGTAAATGTATTCTATGTTACCAGAACTACCAGAAGTAACACTTTTATAAGAATCATCTCCTGATTCAGAACTCTGAGATTTATTTTCAGTATTTACCAGAGTATTACTCGTTTCTGAATTTTCACTAATAGTTTCATCAAAGTCTGTCGTGTTAGACAAAATCTCTAGGTCTGTTTCAGTTGATGAAGTATCATCATTTTCTATAACAGTCAAGCCACTTTGCAACTTTTTTTTTTTTTTTATCGCTTGGAGCGCACGAAAGGGAATCCCTATAATGTTCAAAGAACATCGTGCGTTCCTAGGGAGGATAAGGATAGGAGGTAGGTATTGGAATTTTTTTTGAACTTCTGGAGATTATATGTTGTTGGGAATACTGCCTCAGGCAATGAATTCCAGAGCCTAGCCGTTCTATGGATGAAGGAGTTTTGATAAAGTGCTGTTCGACATCTTTCGAGGTTGACAACGAAAGGATGTGCTGACTGGGCTTGTCTAGTTCGTCTGACTGGTATTGCTAGTGGAGGAATGATAGCAGAGATTTCCGAAGCACATTTCCCGTGGAAGTATCGATAGAAAAGTGAAAGGTCGCCGACCTTTCTACGGTGTTCCAATGATGTCAAAGACTGAGTGAGTGTGGCGTCACCCACCAGGCGGATGGCTCTTCTCTGGATGGAATCTAAGAGCATCAGCGTATGTTTTGGTGCTGAACCCCATATGTGGGAACAGTATTCTAGAACAGGCCGTATCTGAGCTTTGTAGATCATGAGAAGCTGTTGAGGTGTAAAGTAGCTTTTCGCACGGAACAAGAATCCGAGTTTTTGTGAAGCAGCTTTTGCGATGGATCTGACATGATTATCCCATGAAAGAGTGTTGCTGATGGAAATACCGAGCATAGATATGGTGGGCTTGGTGGAGATGGTGGTGCCAGACATTACAATGTCGGGCATACTGAGTTCCGCCTTTCTAGAGAAAATACAGGCTTGAGTTTTGGTGGCGTTGAATTCAACTAGGTTGTTGGTTCCCCAGGCTGTGATTTCAGCAAGGTCTTCATTGACAGCATTGACCTGCCTGCGCCGTGAGTTCTTAGTTTCCTGGGAAGAGATGGGAATTCTGGATGAGAACGCAGTATGGAGGGTACTATCATCTGCGAAGCTGTGGATGGGGCAAGTTGTTACTCCCAAAAGATCATTGATATGCAGAAGGAATAATGTTGGTGCCAAAATTGATCCTTGTGGAACGCCGTAATTGATGCCAATGGTATCAGATGATACACCGTCCACCACCACGGGAAGCGATCTGCCTGAAAGAAAACTCGATGAGAGATGGCATAGCTGAGGTGGTAACTCGTATGATGGTAGTTTGTGGAGGAGTCCTTTGTGCCAAACACGGTCAAATGCTTTCGATATGTCCAACGCGACAGCTAGAGATTCCCCGTGTTTTTCTAATGAAGCTTGCCATAAATGGGTGACGTAGGCAAGTAGATCTCCAGTAGA